CTCCTATATCTAGTAGCAATGAAGAAATTATTTTATCAATCGAACGTATGTTATTTTTTAAATAAAAAATATTAAACAAAGGTCAAAAATTAGAAAATTTTATTGTTCTTGAACAATAGTAATTTTGCTTCTGTTTTTTACTACCCGGAGAATTTGACGAAAGTCTCCACCTAAAATTATTATTTTATTTCCATAAAGTTTATTACTACTGGATGAATCTTTTTAAGTCCCATCAACGATTTCTAACACTTTTTTCGGTATCATAGAAGCTTCATTCCAAATAATTACTTCTACATTACGTAATTTTTGTTTATTTGGCTTAAACTGGAAGAACGCACTTTCTATAGTGCTTAAGTCTAAAGGAAGTCAAAAAGTTCTGTGAGTGGTCATTTCCTTTGGAATAGAAGCAATACCTGTCCAAGCCATTGTAAGAAAGTTCTCTGTAGATGTAAAAGGAAGAATTTTTTTTTTCATTGCAATTTTGGAGTCTAATTCACTGTCACATTTTTGTTTAGACATTTTGTAACTTTTTAAAACGAATTTAACGAAGTAAAAGTAAACGAAGAAAAAAAATACAAATGGACCAAAATTTTAGTTATAAAAAATTGAAAAAAAAAAACCAATCAACTAACGATACTGGTAAAACAAAATCAATTTGTCATTCTGACAATATCGTAATTTTTTAATTTTTAATGATATTTATACTCTTTTAATACGTTGTCATTTTAAATATATAAAAATTAAGCATTAGTCAGGGAAAATAAAAAATGATTGCTAAAAATTCATGTTATTAACTATGATCAATATACATTTATTACGTATATCAATTTTAAGTAGCAATTAATATAATTCGTATTTTTTTCAGACATTTTGAATCTATATTTGGAATTACAGGGGTTGGTGCGCAGAGCGCGCATGGAGCAGATATAGTCATAAGAGTTAAGAACGAGGTTTTAGAAGTATCTGTTGACACATACAGAATAGACAGCTCATTAAAAAAAGGGGGCCACCAGAAAGAATAATAAAGCCCACCAAAAAGAGAAGTCAAGGGCACATCTCTTTTTTTATATAAACTTTACCACTTTTATTCGAAATTAGCAGCTTGTTTTTTATATTTCATTAAATGCAGCCCAGTAATCATTCCCCAGCGTAGAACATGTATTCCCGAGTATTATCGAAAAATGCCATAGTCTTATGAATTCTGTCAATATATATTTTAACATATTTTGTTTCATACTAACAACTAATTTTATCATTTTTTAAGGCTTTATAAGATATCAATGCGAAGCTTATTTTGAAAAAATTAGACTTATAACACAACAAGGGGGGGGGGGGTGGCGCTCGGAGCGCGCAGGTGAGCGGAGGCCCACTAGTGTGTGTGTGTGTGTGTGTTTATAAATAGTGACTTATGCGGACTTCACGTGCCTCTAACATATATATTAATAACATTGTGGAATTATGCGGACGTACGCTTTTGCCTGCTAGACGACGTATGCTTTTGTTCTCATAATAACCCTAACATACATGTGATTGTCCGCATAAGTCACCTCTTGATAAACATATATATATATATAGATAAAAGAGTATACAAAATTGTGTACGCGGGTGTGTGNATATATATATTTCGTAAACACATTATTTTATTTTAAAACTTATTTTATTAGAAAAGTACGATAAGATAAAAGCCTTAAAAATAAACTAACATTAATGTATATGTGTTATTGGACATTATTTGCTGGTATGATACATATTAAAAACAAGGTAAATAGATGCGGACGTCGTCTTCGTCATTCAGACTCATGTTATTTTTTATTAAAACACCTAACCACCTTATACTAATCTTAAACATACTTAAATATTTATTTATCAATACATGTTTTATAAATACTTTCTCACTCACGAAGACGAAAATAATTGAATTTAGTACATAAAAAAAATTAAAAATTTGTTGATTTGTACCACTATAGGTAAAATCATACATAAATTCATATCATTTCTATTTTAATTCGTATAATTTTATAGTTTTTGGCGTCATCCTTTTTTTTGGTAGTACCGGTGACGAACTGTGTAATGAGTTTCAATTTTTTACTTGTCTATGTATGAAATAATACTAATATATTGTTTCACCAGTTTTATAAGAACCTAGAACAATAAAACTTTTTAATACACAAAAAACACCCTGGAATTGCAGAAAAATTATCATGCGCAACAGTTAAAACAAAGTAAGGTTAAAGATCCAGTAGTCGATAAGAAACCCAAAAGTCGAGAACCACGTATTTTGTACTACTATATTTGTAGGTAAGACTGTATTTTCAATGCATAAACATAGGACTTATCGACTACTGGATCGTCATCGACTACTCACTGGGTCCCGTACCTTAATCACTTTAAGTAGGCCTTGAATCTGGATGTTTCTATAAAACTTAAAAGTAATAAGCTTTAAATAAATTGTCTTAGAACTCTTCTCAATAGTCATTGGTATCTATTGTTTAAAAATTGTTAATAGATATGTTTTAAAAATATTTATCATAGTTATTGCCTTATGACTATTATACTTTACTGTATTTTTTGCAACTTTTGCATCTAGTATTGCAATAGCACTACAAAATAAATTTAAGAATCAAATAAAGCCATATCAATAGGGCTACTACCTACTTTTTATTGTATTAAAATAGCGAAAATCAAAAGAAAACTTCTAGAATAATTTGACCAGTCTACTATTTATCATTTTTACAATGTGGTTTTAGATTGCAAAGTTGCAATATTAGTTTAATGTAACAGTAACTTACAGCGTCATCGTAAATCAAAATCTTATATTCCTACAAACCTGCTACTTTTGCACGAGCTTTTTATATTACGGGAAATCATAAAAGTGCAAACAAAATTGTCAAAAAAAAAAAAACAATATAATGCACAATCAGTAGAAGAGGTACTACTTTCTTTTTGTTGTTGATTTATAGCTGACAGCAATCTAACTTCACTGCAAAAATGTTATCACTGTTTCATAAAAACACCTTGGGCAGCTTTTCGCCATCCAAAATTTCAATGAAAAGAGGGAGCAGTGGGACAGCTGATTCCAACAGCTAGTCTTGCATGGGCTATCACTAACGAGCGCACCGTGGAAAGGGACCAAGTCAAGATTGAAAGAGCGTGGCAAGCGAGCTATGATGCTGCAATGTCACACTCGTGATAAAAAAAAGACTTCCGGGCATAATTTCAGCCCGTGTAAGAACAAATCAAGCCGACCAGGCACGAGACATTCATTGTTTCGAAGCTGCAGGCTATTTGGCACGATTGGCGCGGGAAGATGACACGCGCGACACCACTCTTTTCTATTTCTCTATCAGTCTCTACACGCACCCTCCCTTCTTTTATTCTTTTTTTTCCCCCCTCCTATTTCATCTTTTTCTACTTGACTTGTGCTCGCGGACAACTGAATGCCTCTCTTTTCTACACATTTCTCTCACTGGTTTCGTATTTGCACCACTCTTCTATGATACGCATAGCTAGACATACGCTGAGAAATAAAAACTATAATGTTTTCGTGATTTTAACCACTAAAAGCGACATTACGAAACTTTTTAAACTAACGTAGTCATTTTTTATCGTGATACATAGTAAAGATCGTCGGGCACCTAACAAAGTTTCCCCTCACTACTCTTATCTATAGCTCCATTATTTCAATGAGGCATGATATGTTCAACTCGTCGTACTTGGAGTTGAAAATATGAAATGAGTTATCAAAAAACTTCACACGCTTCTCATTGTGTTCAAGCAACAGCAGTGGTCATCCGATAACCAAAATATTATCTTTTATAGAAAAATAATTATAGGGTAACTTATAAACAAGCAACATATACATCTCAATATATTTTATAGTCGCAGTTCAACTTATTGTGTGAATTCAAACTTTGCCCCCCCAGCCCTCGCCATTTTACATGATGATGTCAGAAGTAAAAATAACTTATAAGCAAACGAATGATGCAAATCGAACGTAACCATTGAATAGGTAAATGACGTCACATGACCATTGTGCTCTAGTGAAGTATGCGATGTATTGAATACCCTGACCAAAAACTATTACTTTGAGAGTGCAAGATTATAATCGTGCATAATTATAGATAGTTTCTGCTATATAAATTGTTTTCTTTCATTTTCATGAATGAATTAAAAATATCAACATAAATTTACTTCTGAATGAAATGATCGACTGTCACGGGAGCGTGGCCACTGCAATGCAGAGGTAATTTGAGTACAAATGTTATTAATTTTTGTGTCAAACTTTCGACGATGGCGTAAGGAAAAGAAGTTTACGTACCACGGCCAAAAAGTGTGGCTACTATTTATCAGTAATAATAATAAGCAGTGTGATCAGTAATAACCCTACGTTTAGCCTAAGTACATAATGTACTGTAATTCCCAGTGAAAATAAAAAAATTGTAGCTTGGAAATTATTTCTATACCTTATTACAGATTTTATATTTTGTTTTATTATTTCTGTAATATAAGCTGTACCTTAGCGTCTGATGCTGTTATGCTTGAAAATTTAGTTAAAAACTCTAATATCTATACCTTAACATGAGATATTTTTGTGATAAATAGGTATACCTAAGAATAAGGTAACTGTACGGTTAAATTAAAAAATGCAGTTATAATTAATAAAATTGAAAAAGGAAAAAGCTTCACTCCTTTCAATTTATTTAGTAGCCCAAGTAGTTTTAGCGACTCACTTCACCAAGAAAACGAGGTAATATATGTGGGCCTTATATTCAAAGATAGCATACATGTTAACGATACAGAAGACCCACGCACGCACTCACAGGGACTCGTGCTTGCTAACAGGATAATACGGAAGCGCCTACCCGCCATCTACTGGCAAGTTTGCTTGCGTGCTTGCTTCATAGGCCTGAAATAGGCAACAAGGCAACGTATCTTGCTTGCCTTGCTGAGCTGTGCAGTAAAAACCTGACCCGACACACGTGTTTTTTTTTCGTTTATTAACAAAAGTGTGTAATCAATCAAATTATTAAAGTTAAAACAGGTAAATATTATAATTTATATATAATTTGAATCAAGTTCCTCGAAACAACTTTTGAACTTTGTTATTAATGTATAGAAGCTAGTAAATAAATGCACCGGTAAAAATGGAAGACGTGGAAGACAAAGAGAACAAAATTGAAATTGTTTACAAAAATGAAAGCAAGTTTTTATTCATCACCGATAGAAAACTTGCTAAAAGTATTTTACAAGAGTATTATCCAAAAGGTGGAATGTTAACCTCTAAAGTTGTCGGTGAAACTCTCATGCTTGTTTGTGATGAAGCATTTATATACTTGAAACCAAACATAAATAAATATGAGTACAATCTGAAAGAAGGTATTTAAATTATTTAAATAATTTTTATTCATTACACAATCATAACTCTGTAAAGTCATATACATCCTTTGATTTTTAGACGATATGCGTATTACAGCTGTCAAAAATCCAATAAAGGAACCAAGTGGAAGATTTTTGGAAATCTTAGAAAAAATTGGTGGCAGCGTCAAAGACTGTGATAATAAGCCCACAACTAAGGTTACTTGATTTTTTAAATAATTTATCACTATATTTATATTTATATACGTATGAAAAAACATTTTATCGCATAGATTCTAGCACAAAAGGTCATGAATAAAAAACAAGAAGTAGCACTCAAAAAACTCACTCCACCAAAAAAGGAACTTAAAAGAAATGTACACCTCAGTTGGAAACATCGATATGTAAATTCGATTAAGTACGAATTTATGGGAGCACAAATAGGTAAAAAAATGATCATCCAACTAGATGGCAACGTAAATTATTCTGTTGAAGAATTAAAAGTTCTTTTAATGTCAAAATATGTTGATGACAAAAACCGATGGTATTTTGAAAATTCATCATTAGAAATCGGTACTATTGAAGGTGTACCTATACTGCATTTTATTGATGCTCAAAACAATCTCTGCACATTTTGGAAATTTAGTACATATCTCAGAAATGCCGCACACCATTTAAATATTTGCCTGTTGACGACAGAATTACAAATACGAACTGCAGCTAAACGCTTTACATCTACGGAACCTTCAAACTTTGTTTTTGATATTACTTCTGATAAGGTTCCATGCAAAAAAATAGTAACTGCGAATCAGAGCAATCATGTTGTAAATGAAAATTCGAAGATTAAAGAGAAAACCATCACTGAGAGCCCTATAGTAGATAATACTGATAGTGAGTTGCAAAATGACAGAACCGTAGAGCATTCGACATCCAGTATAATTGCATTACCTTCATGCAGTGATCTATTAAAAAATTATGAAGCTTCAAACGAAAAAAAAAGATCCAAAACGACCGTTTCTCCTATTAATAACGACTCTTTGTATAATGTTGATAATAAGGGTAGTTCATCAGAACATCATTCAGATAAAATTTCTACTACTCCTACTGTGCCCTTGAAAAAAAAGCCAAAGATTTCTGGATTTTCATTTACAATTCCACAAATTGACGAAAGTGAACTAACTTTTTTGAATGAAATTGGACGAGGAGCTCAAGGTATCGTGCGCAAAGGAAAGTATTTGTTCAATGATGTAGCCATAAAAACAATGCAACGAGGAACCAGAGATAAATTTATTATCAAGGAACTGAAACTCTTAGAGAAGGTATGTTATCCTGGTGTTATTAATGTACAGGCATTCAGTTACACTCCGATGCAATTTCACATTGTCACAGACTTCTTTGAGTCATTTTCTTTATTTGACGCTATTTTTAATGATCAAGTTAAGAAAGAATATGATTTATCAACTAAAAACAAAAAGTATATAGCTGCACAAATATGTTCTGTATTGGCCTACTTGCATTATCAGCCTTCACCAATTATTCACAGGGATATTAAGCCAGGAAATATCTTGGTGGCTAAAAATTATAAAACAAAGTTGTGTGACCTAGGTCTTGGAAAATGTGGGGATTTAGATAATAATCTAAATTCTGCGTGTGTTGGCACCCTTAGAGGTACATTAGTATTTATGTCTCCAGAAGCAATATTGGATAGAAAAGAAGCAACTACGTACTCCGATATCTGGGCTTTGGGGTGTACTCTTGTAGAATTATTCAGTGAAAAAGAAATGTGGCATGAAAAGCAGATTTTAGATATTTTATCAATTGTGATGATTTTTCAAAAAAGCACCATTCCAAAATTTATCAATATCCCAACATTTTTAAAACCAATGCTACAATCGTGTTTTAGTTATGAACCAAATAAAAGGCCAGGAATAAGTATGTTACTCAAATTATTTCAAAGCAGTAGTTGAATTATAACTTACACTATGTGTGTAGATTTTTTTTTGGCTCTTGTTTTTTTGTTAATATCGTTTATCGTATTTATTAAAAAGAATGTGATTACTTTTAGATTATTAATAGGTGACCAACACAGTCCTTAAATTATGCCATATTAAATGTGTAAATGCTTGTAACGAATATGTGATGCACGAACTTTTACATAATAGTAATTTATTAACATTTAAGACTTTTGTGAATCTGAGTACCTGTTATTAGAGTAGTGCACTAAGCCCTTTACAATGTTGATCAAAAATAAAAATGTTATTGTAAAGGGATGAAAGAATTACGATGTAAGCTTTATAATAAAATAAATATGGTTTTTTTATGACAAACTTGTTTTATTGTTAAATTATAATGTACAAAATGAAACTTATATCTGTTGATTACGAAACTGTCTTAAATTGCTGTATTGCTAATTTTTTGCGCCTTCAAGATACTGATTGATATTTATCTTTGTAAAAAAAAAAAAAAAAAAATTCAGTGGCATCATTAAGATTAATGAGAAATTATTACAAAACAAAAATAAAAAAAATTTCAAGGGTCAAGGGCCCTTTATTGACGTCTTACATAAAAGTTTGTGGCTAAACATTTGTTGATTTTAATATTCATAGTTATCTATAATATTAGTTATATACAAGTACATATCATAAGCTTCTTCAGCACAAGTTGGGACTATGGGTCCAGGCATTATCATTTTAACTAGTTCTTCAAAGTCACTGGAGTACAATTTGCTCTCAACACAATGATCATTTAAAAGTACTCTAACGTGTTCCAGATTAACAGGTTTTTTACAATCTGAAGCGTTAAAGTTGTTTGGAGAGTGAAACATTTCATTGGGTATTCCACTGGCAATATTTCTGGAGTTCTGCTTTCTCATTCGGTGCTGATTCCATTCCTTTTTGGTTTTTATTATATCTGCCTGTATGAGTGGTCCAAAGCAGTAACGAAGAGATTCAATATGAATCGGATTGCCTATGTTTAATGTTCTATCCGATTCTATTGATTTAAAAAGGTTTATGTAAAAATCCTCTAAGTGTTGTCTAAACTGTCGCCAATAACTTTCTATGCGTTGATTTTGAGTACTTTTACCTCGGAGAAAACTTTTATGTCCAGCAAAATCATCTTCATGGTAATATCTCAAACATTTTTGGAAGTCTTCCATCAGCACAGCTTCTGTACCATTGTCAGTCCTGATAATGGTTGGTAGAAATTTCACTTTTTGTATATATTTTAAAAAATAGTATCCTATTACAGCTGGATTGTTGTTGGAAGTACCAACCTCAAGCCACAAAATCTGGAATGATTTAAGCAAATTAAGTAAAAAAACAAAATTATTAAACATTTATTTGTAAGATATACAGCTTATTTTACTTTCCTGGAAAATCCATCAATGCATCCATAGATTGCAAAACCAAACCTTTTTAATTTGTCATGCCCATCAGCATGCCAAACAAAATTAGGCCCAGGAACTGAATATACTCGTCTTTTTAACTTATATCTGCATCTATTTTCAACACCTTCAGGATCCATTTTCTTCAGGAGTTGCAAGACTGTCTTCTGTTTAGCTGTTAGATTGTATGTTGATCGTAGCTTTATCCACAAGGCTCTGTAGCCTAAATTGAAGCCACTTCCTTCAAGCTCAAGAAAAATTGCAAGCATAATCTGAATGATTGAACTTTCTGTTATGTTTCTTTTTCGCAGGTTCCATTTGCGTAGCAATCTTTCGAAAGTTCTGAGAGACATGGTGACACCGTACTTATTTTCTAGTTTTTCCAGAATTACCTTGTAGGAGTAGTTCTTTTTAATATACTTTTTGATTACGCTGTGAATAACTACTCTATCTGCATCAACCTACAATATGAATCAAATTTAATTTGGTCAACTTAAATGGTAAATCATTTTATCAATGTTTAGAGTTTTAAATAACATACCGAACTATTCAAAGCTTGTTGAATGTTATAAAAGTATGTGTTAATTTTAGGGTGTAAACATACATGCTGTCCATCATCATAATGAAGCATGAAAACTTCATCAGCAACTTTGTACGTTAAATAACCATATTTCGGAAAGTATTTTTGTAAAACACTTTTAGCAATTTTTCTGTCGGTGACCATTATAAACTTGCTTTCATGTTTATAAATAATTTCTACTTTGTCTTCCATATTTTTATTTTCCGACCTATACACTTATTTTCTCGTTCCTGTGGATTCATAACATTATTCAAAACTTTTGAACCTGTTTTTATAAACAATTATAAACTATTTACCGGTCTTAGATGTTATTATTTGATTCAAAAGTTTTGTTTGTAAGCAAAAACAAAAAAAACACGCGTTAGGTTAGATTTCTGCTTGCACAGCTGGGCAAGCAATCAAGATGCGTTGCCTATATCAGGCCTATCAAGCAAGCAAGCAAGCAAACTTGCCAGTAGATGGCGGGTAGGCGCTTCCGTAGGATAAAGAGCCGAGAGAATAAAAGTGGTACGATCGGTTAGCAAGTGGGAGGAAGGATAACTAACTCAGCGAGTCAAGGCGAGGCAAGACAAGAAAGGATGGAGGCGCTATGCTATTGCCAGCAGCACCAACAAGCTCGTCGTCCAAAACAGTTTGAATGGGCCCCATGCGGTGACCCTGGTATTCTGCTTCTGTTCTTGCGCTCCTTTGCCTCACTCTCCAGCTTAGAGGGTACCTTAGAGTCCACGTGCGCATGCAAACCGTATGAAATGGCGGCCGCTCTTCCTAGAATTTTGAGAGGCTTAAACGAAATAAGAAGTAGAGAGGGAAAACTGCTCTCCCTCCTGGGCACTCCTCCCTCGCTCTCTTTCTCATGCTCTTCGACAGTTGGAGTAAAATGCATACCTTGGGTTGCGGTAAGGCAGCAGAAGCCTTACTCACTTTCCTTTTTACGGCTGGGCATGCATTCTCTATCTCTCTCTCTCTCTTTAATCCTTTGCGCTCTCCCTCCAATGCTCATCCTTCTCCCCTCTTATACACTCTTCTCCTCGCTGCTGAGCGCAAAACACGATTCTCATTTCTCTCTTGTTCGTTCAATTTCACTCTCCGTTTCTTCAAATTCCTCCTCTCACTTTGCCAAGCAAAGCTGCCAAGCCTGCCTCTCCACCTCTTTCGCTTCTTTTTTTTTTTTTTTTTTTTACATTTCCCCCCTTCCTTGCTCGTTACCATAAAGATACAAGAATTACATTTGCGATATATACGAGAACCATGCTTATATTATCCTCACGCTCTTTCGAACTCGCCAACTTCACAACAGCAGCAGAAGCTTCCTCCCTCCTTATTCTGACTATGTCCTTTTCTTTGTTTTTTTGCTTATTTCTG